CTGGCTTAGCCTGCCTTCAGAGTGGGTCTGGTAAGGTAGGTAAGGTAGGGTTTGAGCCACAGTATCCTGCGCCTGACTGCATTTGCATGAGCAGGCACTTGAACAACTGAGCTAACCGGCAGGCCCCCTAAAATGAATCTTTAAAACAAGGGTAAGATACCATCTTCTGATTTTATGATCTCTATAGAACTAATAAATATAATAACAATAACAAAAAATCTGACAAAAGGTATAGAGAGGATTTATGATTCCAAAATTCATATATTTTATGTGAATTTGTATAGCATTATCACTCTGGCCCTGTCTCAGGTGTGCTGAGCTGGCCACTGAGACCAGGCATGGTGGTGCATGCCTGAAATTCCAGGGCTTGGGAAAAGGAGGCTGGAGGATCACTAGGAGTGTGAGCTGTGTAGCGAGACCCTGTATCAAATACATAAAATAAAAGAGTAGCAAATATTTATTGAGCAATCTCTTTATGTCATTATCTCTGTGAATCATCAAAAATTCCATGAGAACAGGGAATGGTGGGACACACATGCAATCATGCAATCAAGAGGCTGAGACAAGGGGCTCACGAGTTGAAGGCCAGCCTGGGCAACGTGAATATTGTCTTGAAAAAACAAAACAAAGCAGAAAAAAGAATTCCATGAAGTAGATGTTACCATTATTTCCATTTTACAAACAAATTAACTAAGATTCTGAGAAACAAATAACGTAGATCTATAACTGGATTAGACAGAAAGCTATTAGTCTGTAGTACAATATATCCCATACCTGTGGTTTTTTATTTCTGGTGGTTTCAGTGTAGACAGAGCCTGGTACTACTTGCAGCCTTAGGCATCTTAGGTCTGGGACCATATCTCCATGGATAAAGGAGGAATAATGTAGCAAGAAAATAGTCACTGCATTATATTCCATTTATTTTTATAGTTTGTTTTTTATTTTTATTTTTTTTAGCACAGAGTAGATAGTAGATTTATTTTATTTTATTTTATTTTTTTGGCAGAACCAGGGATTGGACTCAGGCCCTCGTGCTTGCCAAGGAAGCACTTTTTCCACCGAGCCATCTCCCTGGTCCCAAGATTTATTTTTTATTTTTTTTCCATAAATTTATTGCAAAACAAATAGCAATGACACAGTTTCAAATCAAACTGGTAGGACAGTTTCAATAATTAACACACTGCATACATTCTCCCTAGTGGTTAATTGCTGTAGAAGATGCAGACATGATATCCTATTTACAAACACCATTAGAACAAATCCCTCTATTCATTAAGAGAATGTAACTGTATAACAATCCTAGACATTTGAATACACAGATACAAAATGGACATTCATCTGTATCCCCTTTTTTTTGTTTAGTTCTGTTATTTGAATATTATAGGTGTGTAAACTCAGCAAAATATTCTAAAAGACTCGGGTAGCCCATAATAGTATTGGGTCTTCTGCTTGACTGGCAATGTCAGAAATTGTTGACCTGAGTCCCCCACAGCTCAACATAACAGCATGGCTTTACTTCTTATACTTTGTTTTTATACTTTTCTACTGGATGGTTAAGACCAAGATAAAGCAATACCTATGCAACAAGAGTTGTAGCTTTTGGGTCTGATAAGGTCAGTGAAATCCCCTCAGGATTTATCCTGAGATCCTGTACCTCAGATTGTAGAACCTTTGTTAGTGTCAGGCATGTGGATGAGTCACGGCCATTGCTTGGCCAATGTGCTCTCTGTGAAAGCCTGAGAGAATGTTTTCTCTCCATGTGACTCTCCTTAGGCACACTCTACATCATCGATCACTTTCTTCTTTGGCCCCATAATCCCCTAGATCAGAAAATTTGGGACACTACCAAGTTACATGATGTTACAGTACAAGTTCTCATATGTCCTGAGTCTTAATTGACCTTGGAAGGCTAGGGCCAAAATGTTGGCTTTCCTTGCAGGCCTCCTTTTTCTCTAACTTTGGTCTGCAAACTTAGGTTGTTAACCATCCAGAAGACAAGCTTATTGTTATTACCATACAACTTAGGCTGTTAAGCTTAACCTCACTATCTGTCTGCATATCAAACATAATATGGTTAGGCATAATATGGAACAGGTATTTTTTTATCAAGTATTGATATGTTGAACTTTAAGTCCCTACAGAATATAATAAAAACATTTAAAAATTAGAATATATTTTAAAAATAGGCATAAAGAATTATATACTTCTTATGTTTACACATAAGTACAAAAATCTCACCATATACAACCTTGAAGCAGGACAGTACCACAATATTCCTTTTCCTGTCTCTTGCTTTCATTCACCACCTCCTTCTTTTTGAACAACCATCTACCCGAGAGACAGCACAGCAGCAACTGGCATGTCATGACAAGCAACCCTTATTCAGAAGACCAAAATGACAGGCTCTCCAAGCATGAAACTACTATTACAAATTACCATCTGCAGTGCAGTTACTTATTTCACAGGTATCAGTATATATAGTTAGTCAGGGTGAGAATTTTTCCAATTAGCTGCTAGATTCAAAAATCTTCTGGAGATTCTCAGGATCATTGCCTTGCCCATCTTCTACATATAACTGTATGACTTGACTTATTCATGTTTCCTAGCTCTTTTCCTTTCCCTCTCTTGATTAGTTAGTCCTTGAGATCCTTCTTTCCTTTTACTTGCATTATACCTTTGTATTTGTATTTCTTCTTTTGAGTTCTTATACTAGGGAAACTGTATGATATTTACACAAAAACAGTGGTTAGACGCCATGAAGTAGGTGGCAATGCCTTAACCTGTATGCATGTTGTCAGGCCCGAGGGCCTCTTCCATCCTTGTCAAGGGGAGTGCTAACTTTCTCTCCTTTCATACAACACTGGTTTTATTTTTTTGAGATAGGGTCTTGTTATGTAGTCCAGGTTGGCCCCAAACTCGCTATTTATCCCAGGCTGGCATCAAACTCATGGTGATCCTTCTGCCCAGCCTGTTAAGTGCTGGGATTACAGTTGTGTGCTACCACACTCCACTAGTCCTTACCATTTAACTTGATATTTAAAAACTTATGATGTTCTACACTTGTTGGTGAAGATGATAAGCTTCATTTGTTATTATTTGCTTTCAGAGTGAAACACATTTTTAGCATTTGTTAGGCAAGTATATATACTTATATACTTTTATACACCCCACTTCTGGTACACATTCTTATATGGCTTTGCATAGTACCTACTAATGTGTTTGGTACAGAGCCTTTTGAAGGATCCCAGTTGAGATGTTACACCGCATTACCTGGATACTTTCTACATAAGCTAAGAGGCAGAATAAACAAGACTTGGTGACAGTATATGGCAGTGGAGTTGATAAAGAACAAAGGCAAAGATGATCCCAGTTTTATTTCTGGGGCCATGAAGGTGTATGCAGCACTGTTTAATGAGAAAGAGGTGTGGCAAAATGGCTTGTTTGGTGGGAAGGGTGAGAAGAGTTCCTGAGTCTAATTTTGTACATGTGTGTGGCAATCTGTAGCCAGAAAATAGGTTAGAGGATCAAATCTGAGAGTGGGCAATGAGATCTATTTTGGAGATATGTAAGATGTATGTGTGGCCAGAAAATGGGTGATATTGAGCAATGAAGTCATTGAGGTCTTTCAAGGACAATGTGCAGGAAGAGAAAAGCATCAGAGCCAGTGCAGTCTTTAGCACCAGCAGTTTGGTATAGGGTTGCAAGGAGAAAGCAGCTCTCAGTGGGATGAGTGCAAAGAGACTACACATCAAGCAGCAAATGCAGATAGCTCTTCTGAGAGGTTTGGGTGTAAAGACAGGACTGAAGAAGTTTTTTGTTGATTTACTTTTTCAATATCTGTGAGACCTGGGAATATGTCTCAGACTGTGCTAGGAAGAAGCCAACAGAGAAGATCTGAGGACACTTGGTGAAGGATCTCCCAGGCCCAAGAGAGCACTGAGGGACAGGTGAGGAGTGGATGTTGAACAGGGTCATTTGTATGAGAAAAAGGCTGGTACGGTCCTAGGAATCAGCCTGCTTGTGGGTAAGGAATTTCTGCCTCAGAGCTTCTGTCTTCTGGGTAAGGCAGAGGGTGGTTTCTAAGAAGGAAGGAGACAAACAGTGGGTTAGATGATCTCATAAGAGAAGGCAGGTTTTGAAGTAGCCACTGTAGAGACTTAAGGGTGAATTAGAAAAATGAAAGTACTTATTGGTAGGAACAAGGATATGGCAAATCTAGTTGCATCATTTGACAACTCTGTCTCATTATGAGAATCAGGAAAGGAATCTGCCTAGCACTAGGAACTCACTTTAAATCCATAGGTGCTTCCTATAGAAGGGTTCTCTCTTGTGAGTTCTTAGCACGTGGTTCTCTACGCAGGTGTGTAGGACCACTGGTGTGTCAGCATTTTCTCAGTCATCTTGACTTTGAAGAGTTCCTTTGCAGTCTCCCTTATCAATGGTCATATGAATGACCTTATGTAGAACTTGGCATGAGCTTGTCTGAGAAAGCACCTAAATATTAGCTTCAGTATGTGGCTTAAAGTCACTGCATGGAAGAAAATCATCTCTCCTCTTTGGGAAGCATCCCCGTGAGGCTTCACAGCAAAGCCCTGTGAGCTCCCTGAAGGCTTCTCCTGAAATGGCAAATGCTTCATTCAAGGTATTTCATGTGCAATATTTTTAGGAGCCATTGATTTTTTTTTAGAAACTATGCATCGTGCTGCCTGCTCCTTTCATTCATGTGCTCTTGAAAAGATTTTTGCTGAACCTTAAAAGGAAAAATGTAGCAACATTCCCTGAAAGAACACAAATACAGAAATCTGGCTGGGTTTTATGAGAGTCTCAAAGCATTTTCAGAAGAGGTTGAGTTCAGAGCCTACTCTTAGAGAGTAGGTAGCATGAATCGGCTGGTGCTCATGGGGTGAATGATTTTTCCATTGGGTGCCAGGAAGGCAGAAGAGCAGAGGTCTACAGCTGACAAGTTGTGGTTTATAAGGGGAGCAGCATGGCTAGATTATTATTATTTTTTCTATAATAATTGTACTCTGACTTTAATAATGTATTTCTAGCTCAATAACAAAATAATTTATGTAATTATTTTCAGATAGTTTAATAAAAAATAAAATACTGTAACACATTGACAACACCCTACTGTTTTCCAGCCTATTCTCCCTCATTTTTTCTTTCTTTCTTTTTTTTTTCTTTTTTTTTTAGGAAGCTGTGGATAAGCATTTGTGCATGCTGCTTCCTTTATTCTTATACCTTAGCTTTTAGCATGTTTTAATAAAAATAATGATGATATTTTCTTTTCAATCACTAGGGAAGACGATATTCTAAAGGCTAAGTAACACCATGGCATAAGTCTGAAGTATGCAAAATTATAATTAACGGTGCTATTGTTTGGAGACATTGCAGCTAATAGTTATTATCTTTTTTTCATTTCATTTTATTTTATTGAGAAACAAATATCAATGAGATACTTTCCAAGTTGATTAATAGGACATTTTCAATAATTAATACATTAGACATTGCTATCTTCTCAGCGGTCATCAGCATGGCTAGATTACACTGTGTTGAATAATCTCACTTATGTGCTGGTGGGGGAGCGAGGGCAAGCCAATTCATTTAGACTAAAGGCATTGCCAAAGGCAGAGCCATGCTAGCTGGTGAAAGTCTAGTTGAATGGCAAGAGCAGAGCAAGAGATATAAGGGTGCATTCCCTTCCTCCTTCCCTCCCCTCCTCCTTCCCTCCCTCTCTTCTTTCTATCTTGGGGTAGAAGTCTTTAAATTTGGGCCTGGAGAAGAGGTAGGCTATAGAAAGTGGTTAAGAGGAAGTGGATTATAAGTGGAGATAATACAAGATCAATAGGGTAGAAGTAGGAAAGTACAAATGTAGCATAATGAAAAGTGAATAATTGCATTTATTTGAAATGAAGTAACTCTAGAAGAGAAGTTTGGGTCAGGTTGGATGGAATCCTGAGTGCTAGAATTATTGTTTCCATTGTTTCATCAAACATAAACTTTTCAAAGATAAATTTCATAGGCAGGAGCAAGGTATGTTGGAAAGGAGAGGCACTGGAGTCAGGGAGACTGGTTGAGTATGTTTTGGAGAATCCACTTGGTAGACACTCAAGGTCTGAGTTTGAGGAGAGATAATGGGATTGAGGGAGACACACATAAGATATATAATTGTGCTAACAAGATAAGATATGGCAAGAGATATGATGTGAGTTATAAACCCCCACCATGGCTGGAATGAAAGCACAATGGGAATAAGTACCACCCAGACCAAAATGATCACCTACCATTTGTCAGGGTATTACTCTCGGCAGAACACTTAGTGCTGAAATTTTTCTTTACTTTTAAATTTTATAAAAAATTTACTTTGTTTTTGTTTCCCCACTAGGAAGTATGCTTCCTGCACACGGAGAGATTATCGGTGTTCATCAAGGTAGCATACCTCCTAAATCCTTTGCTGCCAATAATAGATGAGAATAAAATGTCATGAATAAGTAATCTAAAAGACAATTCCAGAACTTGTAAGAAATTAGCTGGCTTAGCTTTGCTGGAATTAACTGAAATTAACCAGCTTTATGAACTTAAAGGGAAAATACAGTGCAGGTTTATCTTAATTTTCTGATATACAAAACAGGAATAATATTATTTTTCCTCCTATTTAATGGCTTGAACATAAAATCTTGTAATGAATATGAAAACATTAGAAAATTCAGAGTGACGATTTGAATATAAGATCTTATCAGGGGAAGAAGTGGCATTGTTCGCAATATCTTTTCCACATGGACACAAAAGTTTTTTTTGAATCAAATTATCTATAGAATTTGTCAAAGACATTAAATGCCTATCTTCTTCCTTTAATGTGTTGCAACTGAGAGCATTTGCTGGATAAACCTGTGACCTATCAGCCTAAAGAGGTGCCCATTAGCATCAAAACAATCACATTTTCAGCTGACAAGCCCTTGGCAATTTTTAAATGCTGATGATCATGATAAGAGGTATGGTTTTCAGGAAAATAAGTTTCATTTTTGATACAAAGAAAGTTGAGCAATATTATGTCTCAGGACACTCATGGAGCAAGACAGGGTCATCCACAGTTCACAGAAAACACATAACAGGGTTTCAGAAGTCAGAAGGTGACTGCATGTCCTAGAAGGGCATCGATGCAAATTAAAACCACATTGAGA